CCTGGGTTCAAATCTCGCGAGGCGAGATCGTGGATGCACATTGCTGAGGAGTCCCACAGTAGGATGGAACGGCCGTTCAGTGCCTCCAGGTTTACCATGGTGGTCTGGCTTCAATTGACTCATGATCTCAACCATATAAAATTGTTTGATTGCTATTTGAAATATACGTGTCACCAATCTTCGTATATATTCATCGACTTAAATCGCGTTGGTGAATAACGGAATTAAATAAGTCAAATAGATTTTTGAATACGTATATTTTGTACAATCGTTGATCGGAAAGCGAAGCAAAACTAAAATGACGCGCAATGGAGAAGGCATGTGAGCTAACTCGATCAATTAAGCGTTAATCAATATTTATAGTCGAACAAAAATAAGTTACAAACATATGATGAATAGGATATGAAGTCCACACACCCATGCTCATATATAAAAACAATCAGGGTTGATAAGCGAATAACTAACAAGATCAAAATGTGACTCAAGAAGAATGAATGAATTGGCTTGTCCGGTAGCCAGAAAAAACTATGTGAGCTTGACATAGCAACTGACACTAAAGATGTGATATCAGAGAAACATCTGATGTTATCAAATTCAGACGACAACAGACCAGATTGACTATTAAATATTTCGCATACACTATGAATGTTATATCCCATGGAGATTTATGAATAGTAACTTTTGAGGACTGTTTGTGGACGAAATGGATATATGATTCATATTGCAGAGGCTGTTCTGGACTTAACTGGTTGAGCTAGGCAGAAAGCAAAACCGACAAGTACTCTAGACTGTTCATACGGTTTTTGTGTATCCATTGCTCTGATCGATAACTCACTCCTCTCTGATTGGCGGGGATCATTACCTCATATATTAAACAGGGCATTCGTGAAAGCGTGAGTCAATTGAAGCTAGACCACCATAAAAAACCTGAGACACTGGACGGCCGTTTCGTCCTACTATGGGACTCCTCAGCAGTGCACATCCACGATCCTGCACTCGCGAGATTCGAATGGTGGTCTAACTTCAATTGACTCACGCTTTCAACTATGAAAATACTAAATCTCCACAAAACCCCTTCTGATAATTATCAACATGTTAAATGATAGTAATTGATTGTAAGCATATCTTTAATGTATCCCATTGAAGTTATTTATATGTATTGTAACATAGATTTATACAACCTTTTGTATTTTTTATACTATACTTTGATTTTGATCTCTCTTTTGGGTTTTCGATCAGTTTTCAGGGAAATTTATGTGAGAGAGTATTACATGACTGAGCGTTATGATTTTTTCGAAGTCGCTAATCTAGTGTACTAACGATCTAATTATTTGACGCCCAGTATATTATCATACAAAACTCCTGGGATTGGCAATTGCAAATGTCTACACTTTTGCCATTAACTCACTCATAACTAATAAAGTATTTAACAAATAGTAAAAGGCAGCTAAGGAATTTTATGCCCTACAAACTACTGTGTTCAACTTTAAATGAAATTGTAATATATAGTAATTCATATTGTGGTGTGTGCAACTTATATCGAAATAAAAAGTATATAAAGCTAGTCAGGGATAGAATGTCTGTCAGCATGAGCTCAAGAAGATCGAATAGGAAAGAACAGGAACAAAAAGCAATTGATATGCAAATGCAGGAACATTGAAGTCTGAGACGATTGACTGATATTTGCAAAAGGAACAGTGAAGTTTGAAACAATCGATTAAAATTTTGCAAATTCAGTATTCACTAGATGGTTTTAAGATTTTACTAAGATGTTCTGTAATTTTGTGTTTGAATGCATTTTGATTGTTCACATTAAATGTTCTCATTCACTAAAATATTATAAGCTTTTTTTTAGCGAGTTGGTTTTCTACGGGATGGGGTCGCTAACCCCATGCCCAACCCTCCTCCTTTGGGACCGGCAGTAGCCCTCGGTGGAGCTACAGGCGTCACAAGACAAGCCCTCACATGGAATCTTGAAGGCCAAAGGAGAAGAGTAAGATCAAAGAACAGGTTACGCCGAGAAGAATGAACAAAAACTGGATAGAACTAGAAAAGAAGGCTCAGGACAGAGTGGATTGGAGAACGCTGGTCGGCGACTTATGCTCCATTGGGAGTAACAGGCGAAAGTAAAAAAATCAAATGAGACGGGACTGGAACTTAAAACTAAATGATTAAAAAATAAATCAGATGATTTCATTAAAATAAGTTACTAGTGTCACGAGTATAATGATTTAATAGTAAGATATTATGTGTTACCATAAATAAATGTACTTTTAATGTCTATTTTATGTCAAATATACATATATATATATATATAAATCACATTATCTGAATCAATCATACTGATAATGGTAATTAATAAAGGTGATTTTATTAATCAGTTTTATGAAAAGAAATTCTATTCAAACTATCAGATTTGATTGACATAACTAATAATAATAATAATAATAATAATAATAATAATAATAATAATAATAATAATAATAATAATAATAGTAATGGTAATAATAATAGTACTGTCTTATTTTTTATATTTAAGTATGAAAGATGCATGATTTGAGCAGTCACTTATAAAGTAATTTGATCTAACTTAATACCATTGGAGACAAGATCACATAGATACAAATGTTACAATCTAGTTTACTGTATTATATAGATTGGTTGGCTAATATATATATATATATATATATATATATATATATATATATATAACTGAATAGCAAGTTAATGTAAATCCTACAACTCTTTACGAGGTTGAAAAATTTATAGGAAATCTAAAGCGAGGGAGAGCAGCAGGCCCTGACAGGTTGACCCCTGAGATTTTTAAGGATGGTGGTCCAGTACTAGCAGTGAGATTGACTGAGGTCTTAGGTAGAATCTGGGAACTGGACGTAATTCCATCTGACTGGTCCCAATCACTGATTGTGCCAGTCTATAAGAAAGGACAAAAGTCCTCTTGTGACAATCACAGAGGGATCAGTTTGACTAATATAGTGTCTAAAATATTAGCTTCAATAATACTAGGTCGCCTAACCAAAGCTCGTGAAGAGCAGACTAGAGAAAACCAGGCTGGTTTTCGACCTGGACGTGGTTGCATAGACCAGATATTCACCCTACGTCAGGTTCTAGAACATAGACACATATTCAGACGTCCTACAATAGTAGTATTTCTTGACCTCAAGGTGGCATTTGACTCTGTTAATCGTGAGGTTCAATGGCAGTGTTTGTCACTGAAAGGAGTACCAAAAAAGTACATTAACCTCATAAAGGCTCTCTACTCGAACACAACTGGTTGAGTTAGAGCATATGGCGAACTGTCATCAGAATTGATTACCTCAAATGGTGTTCGTCAGGGCTGTCCACTCTCCCCATTCTTGTTTAACTTTGTCGTTGACATGTTTCTAGAGATAACACTTTCATCATCTCAATCTCCTGGAGTTGAACTTTTACCGGGAGATTCACTTGTTGACTTAGAATACACCGATGACATAGTTTTATTTGATGAAGACGCTGACAAAATGCAGAGTCTTCTGACCACTATAAGCAACTATGCAGGCATGTTCGGAATGCGATTCTATTCCTCGAAGTTCAAAATGTTACTTCAGGATTAGATTGCATCGGCACCCAAACTAATGATAAGGAGTGAAGTGGTTCAGCATGTCGACCACTTCACTTATCTTGGGAGTCTCATTAGCCCTTGTGGTCTGGTGTGTGACGAAATCTCAGCACGGATACAGAAGGCACGTCTAGCTTTCGCCAACTTGCATCATTTATGGCGTAGGCGAGATATACGTCTAGCAACAAAAGGACGTGTTCACTGTGCAGCAGTTCGCTCCGTCCTACTTTATGGCAGTGAAACATGGCCGATAAGAGTAGAGGATATTCGTAGGCTACTAGTGTTCGATCATAAGTGTCTTCGACGCATTGCTCGTATATCCTGGGACCACCGGGTAAGTAATGCAGTCGTTAGGAAACGGGTACTAGGTAAGGATGGCAAATCGACTGATGAAGCAGTGAACTCTTTAGTTAAATACAATTGTTATAAATTATCTGAAATATTGTAAGCATGTGTGTAAATGAGGGAAAAATAGAGGTATTTGTTTACAAGAATCGTATATAACAAAAGAAACCAATTAGATCCTGTTCTAAAAATCAACGAGGGGAAAATAAAAAACCCTTAGTTACTTCATAATATATTATTTTTTGACTGCAAGTGATGTGTAAGTAATAATACTTGAATACAAGCTTGTATATAATAGATGGAATAAGAGATAGTGGTGGAAATCCAAGGAATATCCATCATAAAAAGATAAGAAATCATAATGTAAGCCTAGGAAAACAATTGAATATTTGCGGATTGCTAACAGTGCACTTCAATAATGATTTTAAAAAACTATATTTCTTGCACTTCATATTTGGATATTTTTAATTTAACAGTTCATTGATCACGGCGTAGTGACAGATGTTATATGTGTCAGGTCCTTTTTAGTGCAGATCGAATTTTATCGATCAAGGTGCAATGTGACTTGACATCGTATGTAGTATGTTGAGGTATAAGGTGGTTATTTGAAGTAGTCGACAGTAAAACCCATACCTAGCTTTCGCGCCATGTGGCAGCAAGGTGTACCTGTAATCTTGATGGAACAAAAGTTCCCTGGTGGATTCGATACCGTGTTATCGAGCTTCACAGTCAGATACGTTACCATTGAACTATCCGGGTAGTGATTGAACTGTAGGACTGAGATGTATTTACAATTGATTGATCACTACCCAGTGCTCAATGTCATGTATGTCAGATCCTTTTTAGTACAGATCAACCTGGAATTGAACCCAAAACCTTTCATGTCTCATGGTAAGTCATAGATCGGAACCCAGGAGGTTACATGCCTAACTTCAATCACTTCCCCATATCATGCAACCTTCGTCTAATACCATTATCATTAGGTAACAGCCTCAAAGCCGACATGTATATTGTATAACTACTGAAAAATAATACTCACCTTTTTAGATATGACTACAGCATCAAAATCATGATAAACAACAACATGATGATCTTTAGTTAGTTGAACATCCATTTCAACAAAATCAGCTCCCTTGATAATAATGATAATGTTATATTTTCATATCCAATGTAGTATGATGAACAAGAGAGTAAGCAGAAATGGGAAGAGAGAGAAAAAAAACAAAAGCAATAACAGTTAAATAAGGTGAGAAAGAAAAAACACCTAGACATATTATTACCATTTAAATAAAAAATAGAGCAAGTTAGGAACTGATCAATATATTTCAAAGTTGAAATCATGAGTCAATTGAAGCTAGACCACCATCGAAAACCTGGAAGCACTGGACGGCCGTTTCGTCCTACTATGGGACTCCTCAGCAGTGCGCATCCAGGAACCCGCTCTCGCGAGCGAGATTCGAACACAGGACCTACCAGTTACGAGCAATAATTGAAGTTCCCTATGATATGAAATAGCACACACACACTCATATACATATTGAAGAAAGAATATCCAAAGGATAAGAAAGTGGGCTACAGTAAAAAATTTTAAAGGAAATCAACATTTTCAATAAACAATCAAATTATTCTTTAATATAAAGTAAAAGAATGATAAAATCGAAATAGTTCAATGAAATTATATTCAGTTTAAAGATCCTTTAGAAGTCATTGATAAGATTAAAATATCTATGAATAAGAAGAAACAACTGTTCATGAGTCAATTGAAGCTAGACCACCATGGTAAACCTGGAAGCACTAGAAGACCATTTCGTCCTATTGTGGGACTCCCCAGCAGTGCGCATCCACGATCCCTCAAGAGATTCAAACCCAGGACCTATTAATCTCGAGCGCGAGCATTTAACCACTGGACCACTGTGCCGGCATTCAACGGTGTTAATGTCTAACTTCAACCAATCCACAAAATTGAACAACCATCCAACTGCTGAGAAGTTTCACAATAGGACTAAATGGCCATCTAGTGCTTCCACGTTTTCCATGGTGGTCTACCTTCAATTGATTCATGATTTCAACTACAATCTTTAAGGTCTAATCAATTTGTAAGATACATGGCTAATAATATTAGTTAACTTTATCATTTGTAAAATTATATAAACTTGATTTGCTCATATTGAATTGTAGTATAGCCTTATCCGTTGAAACATTTGAAACAGGAAATTCTGATCTAATATACAAAAAAACGTTTTCGATGAAGATATAATGGGTATAGTCAATAAGAGTAAGACAGTAAAGAGATGTTATTAAAATAGAAAATAAAAAAATAGATCAAAGAGGAAATGTAATGAAATTATGTGCATATTAGATATTTAGATTAAAATTATGAAAACAAAAAACATTCAAGGGCTCTGGCTCAAGACTGGTAGGTCCTGGGTTCGAATCTAGCGATTTCGGGATAGTGGATTACCACTGCTGAGGAGTCCCATAATAGGACGGAACGGCCGTCCAGTGCTTCCAGGTTTTCCATGGTAGTGTAGTTTCAATTGAATCATAATTTCAACTTTGAAAAATACATTCAAAAGGTGTTATGTACTTGAAAAAAAAGAGAAAAAATAAGAAAAGTAATATCGCTAATTTTTCACCTTGATATATGAGACTGATCATATTTTACACCAATCCATGTGAATTATCATAGCCAGTGATCCAATTATACCGTATTGTATTGTATTGAGAGAACGAATAGAATAGATATATCATTCTCTTTAAATAAGACTTGAAATTTCATTTTGACGTAACTATATCATTTTTAAGATCGGGGGGGAGGGGTTGGATGGGAAGGGTTGAAGGTGATCACTATTGAATAGTATCAAAAAAACAATAGAGAAACAACTCTTTATTCTTTAGTCGATATCACTCTATGATATTTACTAGCCGACACTAGGAATAGTTACGTCAAACTACAGTTATTTAAGTTAAATTAGAAACTAGGGGGGGGGGAAGGAAACAATTTAGAAGTGAAATAACTTTTCTAACAAAGAAACAAACAAAGAAGATGAAGTTAGAAGTGAAATATAAAAAATAAAACTATTAAAATCAAGGTACAAAATAATAAAAGACTAAATTAATCAAAGAGGAAAATTACATGTTGGACAGCCGTCCGAAACGAATCCAATGTATTTTCTCTAGTTGTCGGTAACCTGTAAAATTAAGCACATTAAATAGCTGCGCAATTTGTATGCAACATTAAAACAAAAAACACAGAAGTAAAAATCATTTTGAATCATATTATCGTTGGAGATAGCAATCGCTAAATATACCCCACTTGGGATTACTTCCAGTTGTATATGGTATCTAACTGAAGAGTACTCTGATGTTTTTGACGAACAATTGAAAAAATGAATGTTTTATACAAAATTTTATGAAATTAAATGGTTATGTAATTGAATATACGATAATTTTGACTAGAGATAACATATTTTATGACTATGAGACCATTGTGAACCATAGTATTGCTGAAGTGTTCAACTTACCGATGGGGTAATGCAATAACCAGCAACACAAATATATATATATATATATATAATGCCTGGTTAGTAACATTTGGAAATTTATAGCCTTTTCCGATTTAACAGTGGTCTTGAGTGCTGTTAGAGGTATGAGGGCAGTTATCACTTCCCGGTTGCCCACACCCTGGAACGGTTCTTCTAGAGGTACCTGAAAAGGAAATTGAGTTAGAAGTAGTCTTAATGACCCGAGACCTTGACCGCACTGCCAAACGCACAACTGCTTGAGGTCGGTCACATACAACCTTTTTGTGGGTAGTTTTTGTGCTAGCTTCGTACTTGTTGGGACCTTACCGCCGGAGACGGATATCCGTGGGATAAGGTGAGGTGTGCATTTTTAGGGTCGACCGTTTCTAACCCCATCCCTCCTTGTGGGAAGGCAGCATCGCTGCAGATGCTGGTTGTCTGAAGAAAACACCTTACTGCCGTCACACCTCTGTACAGTCAGCAGTACGACTTCGCCTTCAGACCTTGAGTTACTGCTTTTAGTCTTACCGCTTTTCAACCGACCTGTCTGGCATGGTAGGACCTTGAGGAACGATTGTTCCAGCCAGTATAGCTCGATTGGTTCATCACGATAGGCAAGCCTGACCACCACGTCAAGGTAGCAGCAACGGTTGGGTTTCCGATTTAACACATGCTTATTCATAAGGGAATTTCATATGTCATTGTAGTTTAATTAATTTCGATTTGTAAAAGTATTTTTGCGGGTGATTCTGGTCGATTTTCCAGATAATAGAGCATTTATCAACATTAACATTCTGTCTAAACTCCGCCTGTAGCTTCTTCGTGGGCTACTGCCGGTCCTAAGAGGGTTGGGCATGGGGTTAACGACCCCATTCCGTAGAAAACCAACTCGCTAAAATAAACGCTAACCGCACAAAAATTATTCAAACCATTTAAACTCTGCCCTGGGAGTTGAAGGAATAATTATGACGTCTCATGATGAAAGCCGAGTTCCTTCGGAAATCATGAGGCCAATGCACCTTCTTACAACCAGAGAGGTACATGGAATGTCCGGACAATGTGGGAGACCGGAAAAGTCTTACAAATTGCTATAGAAATGAGAAAATACAACCTGGAGGTTCTCGGGGGGGGGAACATTCTTCCTAATTCCCATCAGTCAGCTAGCTATTACGATATTGAAATTGGATAGATAGAATCACTATATATTTATTTTGTTTATTTCTCCATTCACAAATCAATTGATTTTGTTTGACTATTTATCCCTAGTGTTGATTATTGTTGACAAGCCTCATCTCATACTGTTCACAGTTTCATTAAACGTTCAATCTACAACTATTAACTAATAATAATTTAAGTAGTATCAACAAACATGAGATCAGATGAAATACTCACGAATACTATATTTATTTCCTGACATTGATAATTATCATAGAGGACTAGGTTAAGTTATTCAGTCAGTCACAACGTAGAACTTCGTACGTACGTACATCAATTCGAGTTGCCATACCACAGGACTAGGTTGAACGATAATAAATATCTTAGATATAATATTCAAAAAATAGTACATCCCTTTTTTTAGAACTGAAAAAAGTTTATTGCAAACTATAAGTGTAAAACATTTCAAATTTCAAACTATTAGTCACACATAGGGTAAGTACATCCAACTTACGATGGTATAATGTGAAATGTTGTTAGGAATTTACATTTTTTTAAACCTTTGATATAATTTAATTACGAATATCAGATTAAAATAGGTTATAAATCAGTGAAGATTAAAGTAAACAATGAGTATCATGTTAATTAAAACACTTCTTGTAGTGAAACCGACCCATTGTGTTATCGGGGAAGTGTTCAAGACAATTCAACAACGACATTATCAAAAAAGTTTCTTTTCTCAATTGTTTTTAATTCTCTTTTAAAACGTTATGATTAAATGAGCATGTGTTTATTATATGACTGAAATCATTTAAAAGAACCATTATGTAATAGTATATAGAAATAATACCAAGTATGTATTCATGAATTTGGTTTCATGTCCTGTGCTATATATGATAATTCGAGAAGGGGGAACGATAAGGCCAACTGACATGGTGGTTGACAGTTAGATTGCAGCAACGTTTTAAATGTTCGCCGATTGAGTCATTAATAGAATTTTCAGTCATTTAATGGATGAGTGTTGTATATTAGAGTGTAAATGTTTTTTATAAAGGAATTTATTTTAAACGGATGTAGTTATCCGCGATCGTCTAGTATGAAGACGTTTGATGTAGCGCAGCCTGAATTGAGAACACACACATAGTAAAAGTTAGGCCTTCAAATGAAATGTTTCATAAAAATTACACTCTAATAGACATTATTCACACAAAAAATGAAGGGTAGAATGATCGAAAGTCTAGAATAAGAACACAATGAGCACTGAAAATGTAGGACATAAATCCGGTTAGTGAAGATTTACGAAATTACCTTCTTATCAGAGGGGAGTTTCGTGGAGATTTTAGTAATTTTATATAATTGAGATAATGAGTCAATTGAAGCTAGACTATAATGAAAAACATTGAAGCACTGAACGGCAGTTTCGTCCTGTTGTGGGACTCCACAGCAGTGCGCAACCACGATCCAGCCTCGCGAGATTCGAACCCAGGACCTTCTGATAATGATCATATGCTCACTAGTGACTGGCTCCATGAGGTATTTCCTAGAGTTCTAGTGAGAAGTCGTGACTAGTGGAGCTAAGCCATGTCAGGTAGATACATTTGTCTACCTCAGTACAATGGAATATGGTTGCGCGATTTCGTGGATTCGTTGAAGTTAGACACTAACACTTTTGGATGTCAGCCAGCTCAGTGATCTATCGGCTAAGTGCTCTGGCATGAGACTGATAGGTCCTGGGTTCGAATCTGATGAGTGAGGGATCATAAACGCGCACTGCTGAGGAGTCTCACAATAGGAAGAAATTACCGTCCAATGTTTCCAGGTTTTCCATGGTGATCTAGCTTCAATTAACTCATGATCTCAACTATATAAAATTATCTTCTTGTAAATGAATAATTTGACATGAATAGTTGAAAATTAAAAAGTAATGGGTAACTATTTTGCTGTAATTCATTACTGCTTTAGAAGTGACGATTTCCAATGGATTAACACTATGTAAACCAATAATATATCAGTCTTAAATACAATATGTAACTCAATTATCCACTGATAAGCCTTCATAAATGACTTTATCACCTACAAATTACAGAAAATGTTTAGTAATAAACGATCATGAATCGATCATTTAAATATTGAGTAGACAATAATATCTTCGAATTTATGTTAATTGGTTACAAATGATACACTATATTGAACACAGTGAAATGTGTTGTTTCCATCTGGAAAACAATCAATAACGTTGGGATGATCGAGAAAATTTCTTACAATAAACATGACAAGCTCAGGAAACATCAAGAAGCATTTTATCGAATCAGCGTTTGATTAAAAGTTTTACTAGAAACATCACGAAAATGAAAAGTCATACGTAAAGGTTCTGATTGGTTGATTACTACAATGCTGCTACTATGTTTAATAGTATTCTAGAATTTTCAGGAAAACCCAAGGACTTCTAAAAATACTACAAAAACCTTATATTTTCTGTACATAAATGAACACTAGAGTTGAAGTACTTCTCACATGTTTGATGACTTTTCTTTTGTGTTCATGTTGCTGTGTAGTTCTAGCTTGAGAGGTTACGAGACTAGCAGCTTAGAATCTGAGTATAGCATTCAATCAGTAAGACTTATCCAATAACTAATCATATACATATTTTAAGTGTTAAACAAACTTCTTTTTCATTATACCATTTGTATACCCATGGTCCACCAGGGTGTTTGGTACCTGAGTGGTTGCGCCACAGGATTGGGCTGATATGTTCGGATTGTAACGTTGAAGCCTTTATAGTGTCTGGTTCTCCTATAAGGCGGAGTTGAGCTGTACTTTTTGGGTTGTCGCGTGAAAGTCTGGATGGTGTCTGGTTCTCCTGAAAACCAGTGCAAGATTACCCTGGCCCATAAGGGTATATTATATATATATATATATATATATATATATATATATATATATATATATATTTGTATACCCATGTCCACCAACTTATCTAAACAGTTTTTTACAACAACTGATATTTCCTCTATCTACTTTTTTTTCTTTCATAAAAGAAAATTGGGTCAATTTTATAGAAAGTAATGAGATTAGAAGAGAGACAAAACACTTTGAATCTAATCATAGTTACATATATATACATATCATACATCATACTCTTTTTAAGTAAATAATCATTGATGAATTACCGAAAAGAAAAACACAAAAAAAACGGCAACGAAAGTCACATGGTACACTTTTTTTTCTCAGTGATGTTTTTATTGTTCGATAGTTATGATATACTACACTATATATATATATATATATATATATATATAAATATATATATATATATATGAACAATCAATAAAATGATTACAATCTAGGTTCTAATACAGTAACCATCAGTCATAAACAACGTGAACAACAACAAGCATATTTATTACGTAAACATATAATAATAAAGAGATTACTATACGTTAGATTTTAATAAAATGAGTGGAATACAACAATTGATGAAAATTATTATCAGTAGAGGTTTTTTGTTGATG